CTTCTTAGATATTATATATATTAGTTTATAGTGATTTTAATTTCTTTAGAGAGATTAGGACACTGATATAAAAGTATGCCTTTTAAATTCAGAATTCTTTATATGGTTTAGCCATTTAAATTGCATTCTATTTTTTTCTGTTGGTGAGTTTACATTTTGAATTAAATGGGTTAATGCCTGAATGGAGATTTAAATGGCCATTAATTCTTAAGACAGCTTTTCAGTCTACTTAATTTCAGGTATGCGTCTGTAAGAGAAAGTAAAAACACTGCTGTATTTCCTACCATGTTTAAAATTTCACATTTATACACAGAATACCAAGAAATCAAATTTAAATATTTAACAATAAGAAGAAATGTTTTACAGTGTTCAATTTGACATTTCTGAGAAATTTAATGTGATTTCAGAGGTTTTTTTTTTAGGGGTTTTCTCCCCATAGACACTTGTTAATCCCACTGAACTGAAAAGTAATGTTTGTAAATACGGTCACTACTTTTTAATTCTTAAGAAAAGCAGAATCATTAGAAACCAAAATTAAGGCCCTCTTTATAATGAGGAGTTAAGATAAAACTGCAGTTGAGTCATGAGGTTGCATGAAATCATTTTAGAATAACCATTAACTCTTCCAAATGCAATGAGAAACAGTGTGTCCAAATATAAATGGATTTCCAAGGATAGCTAATAATTGTTTTCTAAGGACAAATGGATATTTTGCCCAATTTTCTTTCAGATATTCACCTCTGGATATGTTGTCAATAATTTTGCACTATAAGTTATATAGCTTATAACTTATTTATATATGTCAAGACTGTGCTGAATCAACCAGGAACAGTTAGTATGACAGAGTTAGCTTTCCATTACAGCATGGTTTGGTTGATCTGTCGGATGACCCAAAGCAACATTTTACTGATCTAGTGATAGTAATTTATATAGTCTGAACTCAGTGTGTATGTGTGTGTGGTCTTCTAGTGTTTCTTCCAGATTTACAGAGTGGTTTGTAGTAGAAGTGGGATATGGAAAATGAATGAAATGAATTGTCATGTTCATTGCCCTCAATAACAGTCATAGTTATTAAACAATAATCACTCTTTCCTACTTCAAATATACCATCTGCTTAAGTAATCTTCCAAAATCCCAATTACACTGATAATTACCCATCCAAACAAAACAACATAGCTTACCCGAATTTCAAGAGACTGAAGGAATACAAGAGTAGTGTGAATGTGCTAATTTATACTTTTCTCCACCAGATTTAGAAGCCTTCTTGGCAGATGTGGGAAACACTGATAGCTCACATTTATTTTTTATGACATCCAACAACTGTTAAGCCTTGTACATTGGCATTCTCATATAATCTTCATCATAAACCAATGAGTAGATACTATTATTCTCATCTTTTTATTGATGAGAAAATAGAGGTTTTCAATTTTTTTTCAATATCTTGTTTATGGTCACATTTGGCACTGTGCAGGCTTGAAAATAGGCAGTGTGGCAAGCTGTATTTTCCAAAAGTGACCGAAGTGTTATTTCTAGTAACACATAATCTTTTAAAACCTTGTTATTCCCCATCAAAAGGTAAAGTCCCTACTGACTTCCACCCGTCCTGGGAATGTTGGTGGGCTTATGATTGCTCTATTCAACAGAGTGTGACTGACAGAAATAATGTTTTTTAACACCTGAGGCTAGATTATGCAAAAAGATACGGTCTTCCATTGTCTCTTTTGATGTCAGGACAGTCACCCTCAGGCCCCAGTCTCCATGGAGGAAATTCAGGCCACGTGGAGAAACTGCATAATTCATAGTCTTTCTGAGAGTCACAGCTAGGTGTTCAGCTGACAGCCAGCACCAACCTCAAGAGCAATCAGGCTTAGGCTGAGTGAAAAAGTTTTCAAACCATTCCAGCCTCTTACCATCACGTCATCTCCTCTCTTTTAGCCTTTTCGTAGGGGGCTCTGTGAATCTTGGAGCAAAGACAAGACTACCCAGTAGTCTTTACTACATAAAGAACCCATAAGCATAATAAAGGGTTGATTAAGTTTTGGATTAGCTTGTTAATTAGTCCTAGTATATGAAACAGGCAATCTAATTTCAAGCTAGTATTTTAAAATATGAGAAAATACTGTCTCCATTAAGGAAAATAAGGCATTAAGCTATATCTTCAGTTTTTAAAGATTCAGAATATTTCCTCAAGCATAAAGATTATATACACACTTCTAGGCTACAGAACCTCCAATATTTGGGATTCCTGCCTTCTCCCAAAGACACTGCAAGACTTCTAATTCCTTCAGGGTCAGGAAGGGGAGGAGAGACAGAAGGAAACTAGGACCAAGGAAAAATCATTTAACATCACTTAACGTAGTCTTTTTGTCATTATTTTTTGACTATCATAGCATCTGACTGGGAAGATTTCCAAACACTGACTCTTTCTCATGGAAGGTTTAATGAATTCTTTAGAAACTCCCAACCTCCCCACAAAGTGGAACCCTGTGCACTACACAGTTATCTGCCCAGGGGGTACAGCATCCCACTGATTCCTTACAACTCCTTAAACTTTCTGCTAATTGACGTACTATCATCTCTCTGGACTTGCATTATTTATTTTTTTAAGCTACAGCTAGCAATATGTCCAACTCAAGGGAGTATACTTATCTAAGACTTTCTGAAATTGAGGATTAGTATCAGACATAAATGGATTATTTTCTAAGTGCATGTAGTCTGAATTTACTATTTTAAAACTCAATGCAAAGATTCATAAGGAGCTTTATACTTATTTATGCAAGAAAGGATGTCCAGAATTATTGAGAACAGTACTACTGAAGGGTGGTCATGTACTGCTGTGACCTGTGAACTGTTTGTCACTGGCCCATAAGATCAGTTCAGAAAGTGAGAGTAAACATTTGGCAAATGTTACTGAAATTAACAATGCTGTGACAAACAGGCATGTGATAATTTTTCCAATAATTTATTTTATTATATGTTCCAAAGTATCAGTGCAACCAATGGGTTGAAATTTTCAAAACAACACAAAAAATAGATCCTTGATTGTAGAGTTTGGAAAGCAGTAATGTGTAAAATAGAAAATGAAGTCCAAACTAAGGGTTTGCCTGAAATACTTATATTGCAGAGTATTTTTTTAAAATTATATATGCCTGTCACTTATTTTCTGGATGAAAGTCTTATTTTTAATTTTTTCTCTAATTATCTTTCTATATATAAAAATAAGATTCTTACTTCCTATCTGCCAAATCTTTTTGGTCTCTTCTGAACTTAATTGTCTGAGAGAAATCAATTTTTATTTCAGTATTAAAATTGATCATTGTTACCCATGCTTCATTACTTCTTCTGAACCTAATTCAAAGTCTGCATCATAGTGTCAAGAGATCAGAGAACTAGTTCTTGTCTAATTCACAAGCTCTTTTGCAGTTTAGAACTTAAGAAACATCAAGGACATACAGTTCACTGAGAAAATTAACCAGTGTCTTGCAAATAAAACATGGGCATAAATACCCTGCAGTATCAAATTGAGTTAGACAGTTGGCAAGATGAGGAAATCAATAGCATCTTGGCATGTTGATGAGAAATGCTGCTTGATTTGTGGCAGAAATGATTAAAATAAAAATCAGATGTGTTCTTACTACCCAAGAGTAGCTGTTCACAATATTGTATCTAGTCTTATATATGGAAGTATTTTATTTGTCAATTGTTCTTAAGTTACATGAAATTTGATAGTGATTTTTTAACTTGCTACCATATAGTCATTTTTTGCCTCATGTTACTTAAAATTCTTCAAAAACATGACTTTAAAGATCTGAATAGTATTTCATAGTATATTTAACAATTTCTTCATTGTTGAACATTTAGTTTTATATTTGTTGGAAAAAATGACATTATTGTATATACATATTTGTCTGCATTTCTGTTTATTCCTTATGATTTATTTCTAAAAGTGTCATTTTATTGAATTGTATTTGTTTTCTATTGGAGTATATCATTTTATTTCTATTTTTAAAGCCATATTTTTCTATTATTCAAGTATGTGTAGTACATAGTTTGATTCATTGCAAAATAGACATAAATTCTTTAAATTCGGTTCTTAAAACTATACAGTCATATAATGATGCAAAATATAATACAGAAATGCAAATTAAAATACTTAACCAATACTCCTGTCTACAACCAAGCATCCCCCAAAATATGTACAACTTAAATTGTTTCTATTTTCAGTTCTTGTGATTACCACTATAATGCTTAATTATGTTCTTTTATATTCACTTTTTTAAAAATTTTTTTGAGTTATAGTCAGTTTACAATGTTGGGTAAATTCCTGGTATAGAGCACAATTTTTTAATCACATATGAATATACATAGATTCATTTTCACATTCTTTTTCACTGTGAGCTACCACAAGATCTTCTATCTGTTTCCCTGTGCTATACAGTATAAACTTGTTTCTCTTTCTATGTATACCTGTCAGTATCAACAAATTTGGAACTCCCAGTCTGTCCCTTCCCACCCGCCTACCCCTGGAAACCACAAGTTTGTATTCTATGTCTATGAGTCTGTTTCTGTTTTATATTTAAGATCATTTGTCATCGTCTTTTTTTTTTTTCCTCAGATTCCACATATGAGTGATATCGTATGGTATTTTTCTTTCTCTTTCTGGCTTACTTCACTTAGAATGACATTCTCCAGCGACATCCATGTTGCTGCAAATGGCGTTATGTTGTGGTTTTTTATGGCTGAATAGTATTCCATTGTATAAATATACCACTTCTTCTTTATCCAGTCATCTGTTGATGGACATTTAGGCTGTTTCCATGTCTTGGCTATTGTAAATAGTGCTGCTATGAATATTGGGGTGCTGGTGTCTTTTTGAATAGGGTTCCTTCTGGTTATATGCCCAGGAGTGGGATGACTGGGCCATATGGTAAGTCTATTCCTAGTCTTTTGAGGAATCTCCATACTGTTTTCCACAGTGGCTGTACCAAACTGCATTCCCCCAAAATATGCAATGCTTCACGAATTTGCGTGTCACCCTTGTGTAGAGGCCCTGCTAATCTTCTCTGTATTGTTCCAATTTTAGTATATGTGCTGCCGAAGCTAGCACTATATTCACCTCTTGATCTGAGAACATCAGATATTTTCTATAGATTCTTGCTAGGAGAGATGGAGGGTTTCTCTCTATTCTGGTCCCCCGTTGCCACTTAGTTCTTTTATTTTTGACAGTTAGATTGTTATTCTTGCTTTTTAACATTAATTACCTCTGTGACTTTATGCAATAAAATTAGGTTATTTTTTCTTGTATCCTCCACTGTGGCTAGTTTTAATTTTCTACCTCTTGTCCTTTGTAATTTTAGTTTTACATTATTCTCAGGGGAGAAAATGTTAATATTCTGTTTTGTATGCACAAAATTCAGTTTTCTGAGCTCTCTCTGTATGTTGATACCAAAAGATGTCAAACTTTATAAGTATGAGAGAATAAAGAGATTGGATACATGTAAGAAAATAGAAGAGATAGTGAAGGAGGTCTAATATATGTCACATGGGAGTTCCAGAAAGAGAAGACTGAGAAGATGGGTCAGAGGAAAGGTCAAGGAGACAAGGGAGGGAAGTACTAAGATCTGAAGTTGACAGGAGTCTCAGGCTTTTTCAAAGTTATTATGGCTTTCTAGGCCCTTTGTATTCCTGTTAGAAGTGTAGAATAATTTTGTTAACTTCCAGGGGGAAAAAAAGCCTGCTGGGATATTGATGGGGATTGCACTGAATTTGGAAAGAACTGCTTTCTTGATAATACTGAGGGTTTGCTTTTTTTTTAACCCATAAACATGGTATTTACCTCCTTTTATTTAGGTTATCTTAAATTCCTCTTAGCAAAGTTTTGGAGTTTTTTATTGTACAACTCTTTCACATCTTATGGAACATCTATCCCTAAGTCTTTGATATTTTTGGTGCTATTATAAATATTTCTAAGTTTACACTTGCCTGTTAATAGTGCATAGAAATACTATTGAGTTTAGAATGGAGATCTTGATTCTGTAACCCTGTTAAGCTGACCAATTTTAGTAGTTAATTCATAGGTTCTGTAGGATTTTCTACATTGACAAGTACATCTCTACATAAAGATAATTTTACATCTTTCTTTCCAATTCTGATGCTTTTCATTTCTTTTTTTCTTACTGCACTGGCAAGGACCTCAATACAATGTTGTATTGAAGTGGTGAGAGCAGACATCTTTGTCTTGTTGCTGATAATAGGGGCAAAAAATTCGGTCTTTCATCAGTAAGTGCAATGTTAGCTGTAAGATTTTTGTAGATGCCTTTATCAAGCCTAGAAAATTCTCTTTTATTTCTAATTTTCTGAGGGTTTTTTTTTTAAACTAGAAGTAGACATTAGATTTCTAAATGATTTTTGAAATTATTGAGATTATTTTTTATTTATAGCTTTTTAGATTATTTTTTCTATCATAGTCAAATCTACAAGTTAATATTTATCTTAACTATGTCTGAGCTCTAACGGAATCTAATAAAATCAAAGACATATCCATTGTCTTGGAGAATGGCAAAGCAAAAGTTGCACCAAAATTAAATAGGCAGGGAAAACTATTCAAGGCTATTGCAGTAGGGTAGAAAGCCAGAACTAAAGTCTGAACTTAGCTCCACTGAAACAAAAGGCAGGAGAGTTTTTAATTACTGAAGTGAATGAGTGGAAAAACACTAGAGGGTGTTAGCAGAGAGATGAATCAATTGAATATGTCTAACACATTGAGTTATTCCTGAGGTTTCACCTGTTTTCTTCTGTAATTAGGCCTTCTGTTTTCGCTAATTGAACCCATTGAAGTTAGGCTCCTACCTCCCAGAAGGACTGAGAAAAGGGGGCTCTTTCTTAATGATTACATTTCAAAGGAATGCCCCCCTCCCCCACCTTGTGCTTGAGAGTCTTGCCTGAGTCAGAAAACTGGCCAGAGGCTTTAAAAAGATTTACATACATCGCAAAAGGACAGAGAAAGAATTTACAGTTACAAGGCTTTCTGAAGTAAATGCTCCAAGAAAAAGGAGGTCAGGAGCCTAGAGTCAGGAAGAAGCCTGTTTAAAAGACAAGTCAAGCTGAGAGGAACATTAAGGCCATCCTGGTCAGAACTACATATTCCTTGAGCAGGCTTGTTAAACAGTGCTCCCGTACGACACTGAAAGGACATACTGTACTCCTTTTTGATTTTGGATACATTTTGGATCGGTTTTCTTAGTCTTGGATATTTCAATAATCACCTAAGATGAGAGATGATGATTTCTTTAGCCAGAGGGGTGGTGGTTGTGACAAGTAGTCAAAGTTTTAAAAAGTATGTTTTAAATTAAAAATTAAAAGATAAGCAGAGAAGACTTGCTGATTGGACAAATGTGGGATGCTAGAGAAAGAAAGGAGTGGTTGATGACACCAAATCTTTTTTACTTGACTGAGTAATGGGAAAAGTGGAGTTTTCATTAATTTTGGTCATCAGATTAGCAGTGAAACTGTGTCTTGTCTTACATACTATTTGTGACTTTTTAATCCACAGTATATTGATCCCCTGGAATATTCCCTTCCCATTTCATATCTAATTCTTAGCCTTCCTTCAAGAACCTGCTCTTATGCTGTCTTTTCAGTGAAATCGTTCCTGTTATCCCCGGCCTGACACAGTGATAACAATACTATTATTGCTGTCGTTAGTGTTGCTGCTGGAATTTTTGGTGATTATAATCTGTGCTTGGTACTGTATGAAGGCTTTTACATTAATTGTCTAATATAATCCTTATAACAACTTAGTGAGGTATTCTTACTGTTTGTTTTTACAAATGAGAAAACAAAGGCTTAACGTTGTCGACGTTCCTAGAGATGAGCACACAAAGCCAGAAGTGGTGGCACCAGGATATTAATGCAGTTGTGTTTAACTCCAGAGGACCCGTCTCTCAAACTTCTAGCTGACTTATTAATTGCAGTTATTGATGAATGACTATTTGCTCTCTAGCCTATGTTTGGTTTCCCTGAGGTGATTCCATTTGAAATTTAATTAATCCTGTACATCCATTCTTTCTTTCTCCCGGTTACCTCTGTGGCTACTGTTGCTATACACTATTCTTTTTTTTTTTCTTTATAGTTCTCTGCTGAATCATATTTGAAGAGAGATTGTTTCTTTATTCCAAATAATCTAGCAAGATACCCTGGCAAATTATTTGTATAAAGCAATTGGGTTTTATTAAAGGTCATACTTACCTAAGTGAAAAATTTTCTATCCGCACGCATTGTTCATTACCTAATTATTTATTTGTTGACTTGTGTTAATACATTTTTACAATGAGAAAAATTATACACTGTTTTGGAGAATTAGAGCTAGGAGTAACTTGACCATTACTCAGTACATCCTTCTACCCAAAGTAAAATTCCCTACACAGCCTCCATGACAAAGCACTGCTCTGTTTCTGATTATTTCTGGCAGGGAAGAGAAAAACAGAATGCCTCAATGCATTCAGTTTTATTATTGAATGAATATATGTGTTCAATATTATTCACAGTGGTTAGCTGAAATCTTCCTCTTTTTAACTTTTCAACCGTTGCTTCTAGTTCTATCCTTTTAAGAAATAAAAATAAATTTAAGATACATACCGTGGCTTGCCACATACTCAGACGCTGCTTCTGGAGAATGTCATTCTAAGTGAAGTAAGCCAGAAAGAGAAAGAAAAATACCATATGAGATCGCTCATATGTGGAATCTAAAAAAAAGACAAAACACAAAGCATAAATACAAAACAGAAATAGACTCATAGACATACAATACAAACTTGTGGTTGCCAAGGGGGCGGAGGGTGGGAAGGGATAGACTGGGATTTCAAAATTGTAGAATAGATAAACTAGATTAAACTGTATAGCACAGGGAAATATATACAAGATGTTATGGTAGCTCATGGAGAAAAAAATGTGACAATATATATATGTTCATGTACAACTGAAAAATTGTGCTCTACACTGGAATTTGGTACAACATTGTAAAATGATTATGAATCAATAAAAAATGTTAAAAAAAAAACAACTAGAAAAAAAAATAAAGATCCCCTTCATCTTTCTCTCAGGCTTCTTTCTTCAGGCTAACTCTGCTGTCATCAGTGCAGATGGCTTCCAAATTCCAGAAATTAGAAGTCTTTGCTTGGGAAATATCCGTCTTCTTTTGAGTAGAATCTCTCTTTCACCTTATTTTGTCTCTGAGGAAATCGTATAACTGATGGAATTTTTTGCATTCTGGGTTGGGGGAAGAGTAGGGCTGAGGGCAAGTTTTCCATGCAATGCATCTTCATGTTTTTAGCCATAGGTCTCATCTCACTGTCTCTCCCCCTCTTTATTTTTGAGGAGATAATTAAGTTTATTTGTTTATTTAACAGAGGCACTGGGGATTGAACCTAGGGCTTCATGCATGTTAAGCATGTGCTCTACTACTGAGCTATCCGCTCCCCCCTGCCCCACTTTCTTTAGCATCTTGCAGTTCTGATCCTGAGTCTTCTGGGTTTCTGCCAGATGGATCTCCTCCTTCTGGATTATATCCTCTGCCTTGCAAACTCAAAGATAGGTTTTTCTCAGGGTCACTTTGCTGGTTACTATTCTTCTTTGTGGGCTTTTTGTTTTGTTTTGTTTTGTTTTGCTTTGTTTTTTAGAGAAATGTATTCTCCTTCTGCCATCTACTGACGGTTTTTTCTCATGCTCTTCTTAGAGGTCTATGCCTTTATGTGCTTTTTATTAACCATTTTAGGGGAATTATAGCACAGTGAAAAACACATATGTTCAATCTTCCATTTTTCACTAACAGCTCAGAGACTGAGAATCTAATATGCTCTTTAAAAGCAGAAAGTAGACAAATTTCTAGAAATTGGATATGGGAGGGTAGTGAACACCACTTGAAATACGTGGAATACGTGTTCCAGGAAGATCAGATAAATCACCTGAGCTTGGGAAGAGACAACTAACATGAGTTATACTTCAGAATGTAGGTTTGCAAAAGATAGCTTATGGAAGAGTGGAGAGTGACTCTAACTTAATATTTTTTGACTCATTCTTTAGGAGCCTGAAAATGTTTTTTTTTTAATA